GGCCACGAGCTTCTCGTGCCCAAGGTGCATCGGGATTTCCTTCTTGCGGAGGCGTGTTAATGCCCCCCCCCCGCTTTTTTTTTTTATGTCTGTTGTTGAAGGTGACGATGATGCAAGTGACCGAGAGCTACCTCATGTCTCGCCTGGCGCCTGGACTGGGCGCCTGGCTGGCGGAGCTGCACGCGGGAGCGGACGCGGAGCTCCGCCGCGCCCTCACGCTCCTCCGGTACCACACGCAGGTGCAACGTGCGCCGCTGCTGTTTGCCAGGGAGGGGGGCGATGGTTGTTGCTGTCCGCGGTGACGGAAGGGGATGCCGTTGGTGATGCGACATGGTCTGTTGTCGTTGCCGATGCTGATCGTGGGGGTGTCAGTTACGTTGATGCAGGTTGCCGGCGCGCGCTGACTCTCGAGGTTTGAGCTGGAGCTTTGTGCTTATGGAGCGCCCGTTTCCTTCGCTGCGGCAAGGATACAACCCACAGCCCGGGACTACGGGCAGGCGGTAGCCATCGTTCTTCAGCCAGTCACACTGTTTTATCTCGCCGACTGCGTGCTGCCCTTTGCTATACCTGCGGACGTGAATCTATGTGTTGAATTGTTCCGCCTTTTGATTTCCATACAGGAAGACATCGGCGTCAAGAGACCGTTCCAGTGCGACCTATCCTCGGCCGTAGAATGCCTCAGGGGGCTGGGTGCTTGCGCCACTCCAATGGATAAAATGCTTCAGGTCAAGGTAGGCACGAGTGGAAACGACTGGCTGGAAGATGGGGTGGTGAAGGAGAATGTCTTCAGCGTGCGGAGTTTTTTCATGTTCACTGAGGTTCTGGCAGCCTAATCATATATTTCGCGGCTTCTCTTAGAGTTAACTTCTGCCGCATCTCTTGTGCAATCGCTGCATTGTCATGAGTGGTTCATGCTTAATCTCCTTCATCCTGTGGGGGCGTTGGAACAGACTCGAACGTGCTGCTCTGATCAGTTGACTACGCCGCTCGTGACGAAAATGACGCAACAATGTCGAAACACCGCTCCTTTCCTGGCCTTCAGGTAGCCTTGCGTATTGTGTGTCCTCAGGCAGCAAGAGTCGTGCTCTCCGCCCTTTTACGTTGGCTGTTTCACGCCCCCCCCCGCTGCGAGGTTGTCGCAAATGGCGCCCAATGCCCACCACCACCTATCGTGCCTTCCACCTCATGTGGCGCCTCGCAGGAAAGCATAAAGCTCATACAGACCTCGGTCCAGCAGAACCTGGACGCTCGCAGGCGTGCCGATGATGACGATCGCGACGACGATACTGATGCCACCGGCGGCGGCGGCGGGCGGGCCGGACAGAGGGTGGGCAAAACCGGAGGAGATCGGGTGTACGAGGAGGATGCTGAGGTGCTGCAAAAGACGAATACTTTGGGGTGGTACATGGGTTTTGGCCTCTGGGAGAGTTGTGCGAACTCACAGGGATGGTGTTCGGCACCCTGTCGAGACGTGGTGTTGAAAGGTTTTCAGGGGCACGTGTTTGTACCAGACGAAGCTGTGGCCGTGAGTCGTGTCTGGATCAGTGTTGGTGCTTGATGCTGTGAAAGTACCCATGGTGTCCTTTTTCTCTCCCGCCTCGGCGACCTCGCGGGGGGTGGCTGCCTCGTTCTATCCACCGTGCCAGCAGAGTCAGTGGCGATCATCTTCATTTCTGTGTTTTTCGCACTTGCATGTCGCTCTACGGCACATTGTTACTACTATTCTTGTGTGTGTCGTCTTGTGGCAGGTGCCTCGTCGAGGCACAAGTAAGAGCCTGCACGTACAAGTCTTCTTGGAATGCGCCCGTCGGGTGCAGGCAACCGTGCCACCCTCGCCACGCCTCTCGCGGAAACTGCCAGCACCCTCGGCGACCCCGCTTTACCGTTTACGACGTGTCCGCTCCATGGAAGCCCGGTTCTTCCCTCATCTCTAGATGCACCGAGATAAGCACGATGTCCCCCTCCACCCCTGTTAACGAGCGATAACAATGACACTTTGTGTTGTATTCTGGTAGGTATCTCGTGGTACAAGCAGATGGTTTGACAACTTGCCTGCCCGGTACAACGAGGCTTATCCCCCCCGTCCGCCTTGTATTCGCCTGTGTCTGCAGATGGCCACCGATGACATTGTGGTGCTGCTGGTGTGTTGCCTAATCGAGGCGGGAGCGACCGTCGGCGGCAGTGACGCGAATGTCTCTGCGGGCAAGAGCGGGGACAGCGGCGACGGCGGTGGTGGCGACGGCGGCCGCACGTCCTTTCTGGCCGATCTAGCGTTCATAAAAGCCTTCCACTTCTGCGAGGACAGCACCTCCGCGGTGTACTTCGCGGTGTCCACCTTCGAGGTGAGGCTACGGTAGCGGGCCTGGCCGGAAGCAGGCGTTACGTCGGCGGCGGCGGCGGAAGCGAGTGGCGTATGTTGCAAGCGTTGTTGGCGCCGAGCGTGATTGATGGCGCACCGGGAATTTCTTTTTGCCGACGGAGTTGTCTTCGGCGAATGGATGCTCATACCCGCGCAGCCCGCTTGTTGGCCCCAGGGGCTCCGTTTTTGTTGGTGTTACCAACCACCGGCCGGGCGTCTGAGAAGGAGAGCAAACAGCCATCCCGAGCTGTTGCCGGAAACGTGCCCGAGTGGACCCCCACCCCCCTCCCTCCTGTCCCTGCCTCTGGCAGTACCTCCTCGTGTCATTCGGCTGATGCCGCATCAGCAGTACAAGGCTTTCACAGAAGCACCCAATAAAATATCGACTAACACGGGAGAACAGCACTGCCGGGAACACCATCGACTGCCTAACCCCCCCGGTGTGTCCACCCACCCAGGTTGCCTTGGAGTGGCTCCTGGGGAAGGTTGGACGCCGGCTCGCCGAGACCCCGGCCGAGAACGGTCTAGGAAGTTTCCTCGGGATCGAAGATAGGCCTTGCCCCGCTTCCCCCCTCCCCGATATCATCGGCGAGGACGGATCTGGCGTGGGAGAGGCAGGAACCGGTGGCGGCGGCGACGGCGTGGCGGCGACGGCGCCCCCCCCGTAGGAGGTGACGAAGGCCTTGGAGCCTGGGGAGGGGAGCTGTCTGTCGTTCCAGCCGCCCTCTGCGACGAGGCTTTGCGGGAGAACGTCAGGTCGGAGCTGGAAGCCCGTCAAGGCGGCGGCGCGGTCGTGGCGATCGAGGACCTTACCGGCGACCCTACCGAGCGGCTGTGGTGGGAATCGGTCGGCGTAGAGGGGCAGAGACCGGGAGCGAGGCCGGCAGCGCGGGAGCAAGGCAGCAGCCAGACAAACGTCGGGCGCGGGATGGTGTTCGGGGATGCCGGGGAGTGGGGCGCCGAGCAGTCGACCATGTTCCAGATCACGAACGGAGGAGGAAGGGCTGCCGGCAGTGAGGGCGAGAGCGAGGCCGATGGCGGAACCGAGGGTCGAGGCGAAGAACGAGCGGGGTGGTCAGCGGCGGACGTCGTCCAGGTGAGGGCTGAGGCGGACCAACGGGGGTGCTGCTGCTGGAATGCTTGATTCAGACACATGGCATTACAGTTTTGTACTCCTTTGGTCCGTCGAGCACGGGTGAACCGAGAGCACGAAAGGGATGACGCCTGGTTCTGATGCCGAGAAGCGATACACCAGAAAGGTCTCCGCGACTCTGAGCGGGTCCGGTCAGTTCCAAACCGTAGTTTCAATCCTGCGGGTGGCGTGGTATCTGTTGAGGACTGTTTTTAGCTCGAGTGTCACCGCTATTTTGTGTAACCCGTGGCCGGTATCACTTGCTGGAGTCAAACACATGCACGCGCGCCAGAGGGTTTTGATCCTGCGCTCCTGCAATCGACCCTTGTGTTGGGGATTGATTCGCCAGTCATCGCGTCGTCCAACAATACATCAAAATCGACCTTATCTGCAGGGCTGTCCATCAACAGCAGAGCATGCCAACGGGTCGTCTATGTGTAATGAGAGGCCGTAGCTTACGAACAGAACTGCCCGCCACGCGATGGCGGGGAGGTGAATGGGTCGCCTGGCCGGAGGGTGCTAGCGGGATCAACTGTCAGTTGTGTGTCCGGCGGCAGCCGACCCTCGCGGTCTGTCCTTTGCGGTTGCGCCGTACGGTGAACAGAGTCAAAACGACAACGAAACGCCGCTACGTTGGTCAACGTCGGCGGCCTTGATCGGATATACCGTGCCGCCCGCATCCGCCGTAGCGAGGCGCAGGACTGACTTTGCCGCTGATCTTTGACGGAGAGCGGGTCATTGTTGCTGCTGCACCCACGGCTGTGGGTTTGGCCTGGGCTCAGGCCCTGCTGTGTGCGCATGCCCTTCCTTGATCAAAGTGCTTTTCACCCCTGAAGTGATTTCGTCTGGAAGCTATCTGGTACTGATGGGCTCTTCGTTTTGTCGCAGACCTGTCGTCACCGCCAACCCCTCTGTGTCGGTTGTGGCCTGGCCGGTGGGGGTGCGCCCACGTTTTTCGTCGCAGGTCTCGTGCGGAAAGCACTTCTTCGCGGCTGTTGCTCGCGGTGGTGGCCTGTACACCTGGGGCTTGGACGCGAGCGACGGCCGGCTGGGCCACGGAAGGCGCGGTGACGCTGACCGGGAAGGTGACGGGGACGATGACGGTGCTGTCGAGGCAACCGCTGCAGCGGCGGCGGCGGCGGCGGCGGCGGCGGTGGGCGGAAGTGGAGGAGGGGGGGCGGCGGGGACAGGCGCCGAAGCTGCGGGGGGCTCGTTCTGGCTGAAGGCTCCGGTTAGGGTGGCCGCTCTCTCCGCGGACACCGTTGTGCAGGTGTTTTTTTTTTTCCACCGTGGCAGAGTTTTTTAGAATCAGGGTGGTATGTGTGTGTGCTTGCCATCGTTGCGATACGTTCCATGTGTATTCTACGGATCCCCCACGTGTTACAGCAATACTTCTGACCGCCGTTGACAGTGAACGTGTATATATCAACCATTTCGCCTGTTTTCATGCTTCGGGATGTATTTTGGCTGGCAGAAGCGGGTCTTTCCTCAAGCTTCCTTCTCAGGGGCACGCAAGAGGATCGTCGGTACACCACTAACGCACAAGCCCAAGGACCGTCGGCCACCCGTGGCACGTGCGCTTGACGTCCAAAGTTAAAATCACTGGTTCTATACCCTGGGGACGTGTCTCGCAAGAAGAAGTCTTGGCAAGAAATGTGACAATATTGCTTTGCACGAATATAAAAGGATTCCTGTGCAACGTACACAAGTCCCACCGGCCATGGGCCGACACGACGGCGTAAGAGCGAGTGATGAAACGCGGCGACCCCACTATCCTAGAAGCACACACTCAAGCACACGCGAAAAGTCAAGGCAAGAAACAAGAAAAAATATACCCCCGCACATGATCCGAATTCCAGGCAAATTCTGCAGGCCGTTGTACGCAAGACTAGCGCAATCCAACGTCACGTCATTGAGATGCAACGATGCGACCGTGTTGGCAATGGCCATGCCCTCTTGCGTCGCCCCCGGGAGGCGAGCCACCTAACTCCCGAAGGGGAGCCATGAGCTCGTTACCACTTCACTATGGCCATGCGCCTGCCAGCGTTGTAGGGGACGCACAAGTTGGATGCGTGTTCCACGGAGCCGCCGGACTCATCCAGTCGGATCCCTCCCTCACGTCTCTTGTGCCTCTCGTCTTGTCCCCCGTGAAGGTGTCCTGCGGCGCGAAGCACACCCTTGTCATAACCTCCGAGGGGCATCTCTTTGCCTGGGGGGACAACCGCTACGGCCAGTGCGGCCTCCCGTGGCCTTCTTTGTCGTCTCCCGGTGACTCTCCTCGTGGCGACGGCGATGGCCAGTTCGGCCTCAAGACGTTCGGCCAGATGGCCAAGAAGATGTCGACAAAGAAGTTCTTCGGCGGCGCTGACAAGGCCGGCGACGGTTCTGACGGAGGCAAGGGAAGCGGCGACAGCGGCGGCGGAATGACAGTGTTCAGACCTACCCGGGTGAGTTTTGCGGCGAAGGGCATGATGTGTTGGCCAACGGATCGAAATACGTGTTGGGTAGAGTCTTATGGGAAACTTTCTGCCGAGAGTTTTTCAGGCTTCCATCGCTGTCGACGCTAGCCGAAGCCTTACGCTGATCGCCGAGGTGTACGCCGACATCATCGTGTTTTGCGTCTCGCAAAATGCCCACCGAGAGAGCCGACCACATAATGGCAACGACCCTGTGTGCGTTTTGATCCCCCTTGTTGTCTTCGTTTCCTCTCCGGCGCTGTTCTTGTTCTCGACTTCGTTCTCTGCTTGTGCAGGTTCTCCTCTGGCAAGAAGGCGATGACCTACCGCTCCGAGTCCTTCAGGTACTGTACGGCCAACATCCTGTCACCCCGCGAGGCCCCAACACCCCCTTTTGAATCAAGAAGCGCTCTTTGTTCGTGTCTTGCCAAGGGTGTATTGACATCTTTCTCAGCTTGGAAGCTTTTGTATACACCCTCGGCCTGCCGTGTCTGCCCCGTCGCCGGCGTAGTCCCCCGTCGCCCGCTCCGCCCTGCGTCTCCGCGCGTCCCGTGAGTTGATTGCTGGCGGATAAATGTCCCAGACGCTGCGAGGAAAGTGTCACTTTGGTCTCCCGAAGGCCCCACGTTGCCCTGTGCTCACACCACCCTCGAAAGGTCTCGTGGCTCATCTTCCCCGTCTCGTTACACCTTCCCCTTGAACACCCAGGTGGCTAGCGGCCGACAACACTCCCTGGCGATAGCGTGTTCCCGGAGCACGGACAAGGCTTGCGTACCGGACAGCAGCGCCGCCGCCGCCGCCGCCGCCACCGTCGCCGCCGCTGCTGCCGCTTCTGCGCACTCGACAACTACTGTAGTGCATGTCAACCGCAGAGAAAACGTGCTCTACTCGTGGGGAGCGGCGGGCTCCGGCAGGCTGGGCAGGTTGCCACCGCGTAACCCGTCTTCCTCCCCGTTTGCGTCGTCGTCGCCCTCCCTGACGTCGCCGTCAATGCGGCAACCACCACCACCACACCGCTCGAAAAGCGACTCGTTGGCGGGCCTACTGCCTTCGGCGAAGGGCTCGGAAGGTGGCGGCGGCAGCAGCGGAAGAGGAGACACCGCGGCCGGTGGGCGGAGACGAAGTGGTAGCTTGGCCGGTTCTTCCGGCGGCGGCGGCGGCGGCGGCGGCGGCGAACGAGGAGAAGGGGGACGGGGTGGGCCAAGAAGTGGCGACGGGGAACTCCCTCCGCCGGAGCCAGGGCAACAAGGAAGCGCACCCCGAGCTACTCCTGCACCTCCTCCGCCCCGCCCCCCGGAAGCGTTCAACATGCCGGCACCGGTGGCCGCCGACTGGACGTACCGCGTCAACGACCACAGGCGACACGGCGCCCCTCTGGTCGCCGTTCCCACGCCCGCCGCAGCAGCCGCGGCGGCCGCTGACCGCCTCATCTATCCTTTTGGCGGCGGCGATGGAGACGGCGATGGAACGAGAGCTAGCGCCGGTAGGCCTAGCGGTAGTGGTGGGGGCGGCGACGGCGCAGCGGGTGACACTGAGGGGATGTCAGTGTTGGAGCCCGGGGACGGGGTTGGGAGAGGGCCCGTGGCGATAGCGGCCGGGTGGCGCCACTCAGTTGCCGTTACGGAGGAAGGGGCGGTGTTTGCGTGGGGCTGCGGGTCAGACGGAAGACTGGGGCTGGGGTCTCACGTGGATGCTGGCGCGCCCCGGCAGGTGATGCCTAGACGATGGTTGACATTTGTTCGTTGGGTATTTCGGGTTTGGATCGGAACGGGTTGGTGTTGAGTTGAAGATGGCAACATCGTACTGCGCTCAAGTAGTAATGGGTTGGGGCTTGTCTATACCTACATCTAGTTGTGTGTTTGCGTGATGAAGCCTCCCGTGAAACGTTAAAGTCGATCCAAGCCTTGCAACGATGTGGGTCTAGCGCGAATTGCGCCGGCTCCGGTTTTTCGTTACGATGCGCCTCTGCCCCCGCTCGCTTTGAGACATATGTTGTGGTTTCCAATCGTGAACGGGGCACCGTATATTGCCCACCACTCCAGCTTGAAATTCACTCGGGAGAATGGAGTGTCTCACGTATGTCGTCTCACGCGTCCGTGTGTTTCATCTCCCACACCCGTGGCTTTAGAACGCGAGTAACGCATGGTGTCTACTACTCGCTTGCTGGTACGGGCGAGTAAAAGTATCCCCTCCGCGAAAATGGATACTACAGGTTCGCGCCCTCGCGTCGCGGGCGATTCGCGTGAGGCAAGCCGCGGCGGGGAGGGCGCACACGCTGTTCCTCTCGGAGTCCGGCAACGTGTACTCCTGCGGTTCGAACGAGTTCGGGCAGCAAGGGCGAGGCGGAGCTGGTTCCGCCGCTCGACGCTCCAGCGCCTCCCATAGCAACGCCGATGGCTCGAGCAGGGAGACGTCAACATCGACTCATCCAGCTGCGGACGGTGGCGGGGGCGGGGGCGGAGGCGGGGTATCCACTACCCTATGTATATTGGCCCCGACGATAGTCACCGTTACCGTCGGCAGTGGCAGCGGCGGTGGCGTGTCTGGCCTCCGCGTCCAGAGGGTGGCGGCGGGGGACGACCACTGCACTGTGCTCACCTCCTCCGAGCCAAACACCGCCACCGCCACTGCTTCGGCGGCGGCGGCGGCGGCGACGTCCGTCTCCGCCTCCTCCTCAGGCCGTGGAGGCGGGGGAGCGGGGAACTCCCAAGGCAGCAGTAGTAGGCGAGTCTTCACGTGGGGGCTGAACGCTGCCGGACAGTGCGCTCACGGGCGGGTGGTGGAGGTTGTGGGGGCCCCGCAGGAAGCCGAGCTGTTGAGCGGTGCGAGGGCGGTTGGCTGCGGGGCGGGGCATACAATGGTCGTTCTCTAGTGGGGTTGCCAAAAGGAGGAGGGGGGCTTGCAAGTACTCACGAAACAACCGTTATTCCAGTGGCTTCCCGTCGGAGAACACCGGTAATGTGCGGTTTGGTTCGTTGGGACGCACTTGGCGGGCGGCGGAAGTCCCCTGCTCTGAGCCTCCACGGCGCTGTATTTGTAAATCCTCCGCCATTTGTGCCCTTCAGCACGTAGTCTTAAGTGGCTGCTCCTTCTGAAACGTTTGGTCGCGTTTTTTTTGTTATCAGCACCTTGTGTTTGGGATTCCGTGTCTCCGACCCGAGAGTTGTTGGGCGCCCGGATGATGATTGTTCGCGCGAGAACTCCCTCGGGGGCATCCAGAGACGGATATATGGAGGCCCAGCGACAGCAAATGCGAAGGCGGCTGGTGTGATGCCTTTGTGTTCCACGATGCTCGGGCGTAGTGTTTGTGGGAGGGGCGATACGCCAGCGCGCAAGGTTTTTGTGATGGGCGTGTGTGCAGCAGAGCGTGCACACAACACCAGTCTTCTGTAAGAGACTCGCGCTGTGCGAAAAACGCGACTCCGTGGGAAATCCATGGCTCTACTGCGGTTTCAGCCGCAGATTTTGCGTTTTTTATCGTGGGATATATATGATGGAATGAGTAGGTCAAGCGGCTCCATATCAAACCCGCTTGTACGGTCATGACGTCGTTTTGTTTTTTCTCGCTTTTTCCCAGGAACTTTTGGCCACTGGTCATTGATTGAGTCACTACCTCAGTCACTGCCTCTTTGTTTTCGTGTAATGACCGGGTGGCAATGAGTACACCATGACCGGGACATGATCGGGTCATGATCCAGTCATGACCCGATCAATAACCTTGTGATCGGGTCGTGACTGAATAATGACCCGGTCAGGATCTAGCCTGATTCGAGTCGTGATATTGTCATGGCCGGATCATGATGAGTGCTCACCATGTCCGAGCCATGATCATGTCATCGCCATATCGTGACCCAACCATGACACGATGGTCTGTTTAGATTTTTAGTTCTGCGCCGACTACCAGTGACATCTGTGCCGGCACGCCCACCTGAAAGTTACCCCATCCACGCCAAACTAGCGCCAATGCCGGCACACTATCCTAGCACTCATCCACCCAGCGCCGACCTCTAGCACCTGTCGTGTGGGTTTGGGGCTAGGATCAGAGTTGGGGGTTTAGAGGCTGTTCGTGCCCCTGCCGAAGCAGAAAATCTATTGCTTTGGAGGACGGGTATTGCATTGGTCATGAACTGGCAATGACTCGGTCATGGCCGAGTCATGAGCAGTCACGATCGAAGCATGACCGAGGTATGACTTCGGTCATGATCGACATCATGATCGAGATATGACTCCATCTAAAGGCCGGGTTTTGACTCGATCATAACCGTGACTCGGTTTTGACGTCATGACCCAGTTATCACCGAGTTATGGTCGGGTTATTTCAAATACCACGGAATCGCGTTGCTCTCTGCAAATCGCAGCGGATTTGTTGGCTGGGATTTGCTTTGAGAGGTCGTTGTACAGGCGTCGTTGCTTGCGCGAGGCACCAATAGCACGTTTGTTTGAACCGCACCCGTACACCCGTGTGTTCCTAGCTTGTTGGTGTTGCAGGAATTAGGTATCGCCACTGTCCCATGTATCGTGTTGATGCAGATCAGATGTTGGATGTGTGTGTCGACTCTCTGCTGATCTTGAATACATACACCATACACCAGTCGACAACCAACAACACGTCCACGAGCTAGGATGATGTGGAGAGCGTTTGATGTGAAAGGCAAAGAGGACACCCTTTCATAAGAAAAAAGGGCACCGTAGACTAGACTAGTAGAACATGTACTGTGCTGCAGCTGCTATTGCATGCTCTCACTTACAAAATACGCCAACCGGCCGTTGCATATTTGCTTGTGATGTGCTCGTGATGTGGTGCATGTGTTTAATCCCAACACGGAGCAGATCCCTCCCGATTTACGGCGTAGCCGCTGTTGATATCTGTCGTGTGTGGTGGTTCGGGAACCAACCGTCAGACTACAGCAGTATATGTAGCGGTCGAGTCAACGCTCGATTTTCTTTTTTCCGACCACAAGGCTGAATGAACATTCTTTAATGGTCAATGTCAAACCTACCAGGGGGTGACGCCTGCCTGGGGGGACGTTGTTGCTTTGGCACGGGTTTTTGAGAGACACGGAGGTGCNTCTTTTTTCCGACCACAAGGCTGAATGAACATTCTTTAATGGTCAATGTCAAACCTACCAGGGGGTGACGCCTGCCTGGGGGGACGTTGTTGCTTTGGCACGGGTTTTTGAGAGACACGGAGGTGCATTGACCGACACGAACGATTTTCAGCCCCCCCCGCCCTCGCAATCTAGACTTCAGTGGGTTGGCGCTGTTGGCAAAGCGCTGTAAAACACGCCACCCCAAATATAGCCCCCATAGTATGCGCTACCAAAGACGCGTGACGCATGGATGCGTGGAGTGAGGATTGCTTACGGAAACCTCACAGGTTGAGTGATGTAGGAGATTGCCGGACACATAGACGTGTTGAGTGATTATAGCTGTATACTGAAACCCCACGGAAAGGGGAGGTTTGAGATTGCCAGACACATAGACGGGTTGCGTGGGGATAGCTGCTGGAACCCCACGGGTTGAGTGATGTTGGAGTGCCGGACACATAGACGCGTTGAATGAGGATAGACACATATTGAACCTCACAGGTTGTTTGTATTGGAGATTGCGAGACACCTAGACGTGTTG